TCTTACCCCTGATAATTGGTACACATGTTCCAGAAGACAATCAGCACTGGAAACTTTTCTGCCAGCTCCTAGAGATGTTTGATATTATGTTTGCACAAATAACATCAGTCAACGCCATTGCTGTATTGGAGGGACTGATTAAAGAACATCATTCCACATTTGTTCAACTTTATCCAGACTGTTCAATCATTCCTAACATGCACTATATGGTTCATTATCCATCCCACATGATGTTGTAAGCACTCAGAAACTAAATACATGAGATAGTAATGGTATATGGCAATAATTAAGTATAAATAATTCCAGAAGTGAGAAAAACATAACATTTTTTAAAGATTTGGACCAATGAAGCAGACATGGTTTGTGCGTTTTGAAGCTAAGCATCGATATATTAAAAGGCTGGCTTCATTTATTGCTTATTTTAAGAATGTAGCATATACAGTACCGATCGCGTATTTGTTAACATACAGTACGCGTATGAAACGTGTATGATACGAAAAACATACGCGTATGATACGAGATCGATATGCGTATGATACCAGAACGAAATTTCACCTAAAGAAATATATTGCTGTCAGCTTCAACAACCATTTTCATGCTTATGAAGTAATTATTGGAGAAGAACCGCCAACTTTCATCACTAGCAATGAATTTTTTATACATACTCCAATGCACCTTGCAGGTGCTATCAGTGCAGCTGGAAAAAATGCACCTTCCTTTGTTGTGATACCATATAGCACAACAATCCATGCATAAAATCATGAATTCTTTGATTGAAATTATGACAAGTGGTAACATAAGTAATGACATGGTAACAATTAAATATTGGAAAATCTATATCTTAATATATGTGTACATTGAGCAGGTTATTCAATTTTGATACAACTTATTTCAATTGGATAATCTAATTATAACGAATAATGTTTGTAAATGTAGATCGTCCAGGTTGGTATAGTCCTGAGAAGGACTGTTTTACTTGTTGTTGACTGACGTTTCGACAACCTTAGCGTTAGTCATCTTCAGAGTCAAATGAGGAGTAAACATCAGGCTAGCCGTATTTGTTAACTGGTTCTTACGTCATTGTGTTGTGTGTACACGGAATACGTATTGTCATTGAGAATTAGTGTGAAGTGAATTATTTGACGTAAGAACCAGATAACAAATACAGCTATCCTGACGTTTACTACAGCTAAGGTTGTCGAAACGTCAGTCAACAACAACAACTATAAAACAGTCCTTCTCGGGACTATACCAGCCTGGACGATCTACATTTACAAACATTTAACGATACTCCCGGGTTTAAACCATTTACTTTACAACGAATAATGCTAATTTTTAGGTTTAAAAACATGTATTTAAGTATATGCATTATGAAAGATTAAAAAAATGAAGAAGCACCATATATACTACACGAAGAAACTATTAGATATAAAAACATACTGTATATCAATTTTACTTACCAAATATCAAGTGTTTGGATGAAAACTGCACTAGCTTGGCATTCGGGTCATCATGAATGTTTTGCAAGTTCAACTAAATTATCAATCTGACTGTAAGAAAGAAAGAAAAAATTTTCCTAAGCCTTAAACATGTCCACATGAATATATACATTTTAAAATGACGGAAATACAAAGGAGACAAAAATTCACACATCATTTAATATCAAAAATACAAAGAAAGACCATGTAGTCTGTTGCCTGTCTAATCAAAATGTCCTTAGAAATAAAGTTTCGTAGTCACCATCACGGTGCTAAGTTTCATGAACGATATTCTATAGTTTTCGACATGCTAAATTCGAATTTCTTTGTTCCCACTCACCAAAACCCACAGTTCTTTAGAATTTTGACGATGAAGACCGTTTCTGTTTTGTTTTTTAGTCGACCTTTTTACTTGAAGTATCGCAATTTAGCGCTATTATTTTGAGCCGAGTCGTGGGCTCACAGTTTATTTAGAGAAATAACAATGCGAAATACAGTTTTCTTGTAAAAAAGATTATACAAGTTGACAGAATATTGAAGTTTGCTACAAGGTCAAATCAATAAATGAATTATTCAATAAAGAGGTGTTATAAAACGAAGAACAATTGGTGTCGACCCACATCAAATCGTACTCATTGGCAAAGAAAATTTAGTCATGCTTGGCTAATATGCCACACATATAGGTAATGATATCTACAGTTGGTAGTGATTCAAGCGATTCTTTCTTCAAACAAATTTTATATCTACATTAGGCACACGACCTCCCATACACCCTTAGAGCGAATTATCTAAATCAATAGACCAAGAATTAACTTTTGATTTACTTTCACAAATGTCCACTGTTAAGCCTAAACTACAGAAAACAATTATATACCGAAGGGTTACTCAAGTGCGCACCGTGTCTTCACGGCCGCCAATTTTCCAGCAAGATACTTTGGGTTTTTTACTTGTTTTCAACCACTGCAGAAACATGACATCATATCTTCGTAATGTAATCAAAAATAGTTTAATATAAGAAATGACAAAGTAAATGGTTTGAACCCGGGAGTATCGTTACATGTTTGTAAATGATGATCGTTAAGATGAATAAAGTCCTGTGAAGGACTGTTTTTGTTGTTGTTGACTGACGTCTCGACAACTTTAGCGGTAATCATCTTCAGAGTCAAATGAGGAGTAAACGTCAGGTTAGCCGTATTTCTTATCTGGTTCTTACGTCATTGTATTGTGTGTACAGGAAATGTGTATTGTCATTGTGAGTTAGTGTGAAGTGAAATATTTTATTTTTAGTTGTGATGTGTGATTTAGGTGTGATGTTTCTAGTTGATCATTTGTTTGTATTGTGAATAAGTCGTTTGTAAGGTGCCGGTAAATGCGGTGATCTGTTCAGGGGGGGTTGTTCCAAGTTGGTATACCAACTTTCTAATGTAAACCGTTGTCTATAGTCATTACTGTAAGTAATGCATTTTGCCGAGTCCCAGTCAATGTTGTGCTTTGTGATTCGGTGATGTTTGGCAATGTGATTAGTTTTATCTTGTCTAAACAACGGCTTACATTAGAAAGTTGGTACACCAACTTGGAACAAACCCCCCTGAACAGATCACAGCAATTACCGGCACCTTACAAACGATTTATTCACAATATAAACAAACGATCAACTAAAAACATTACACTTCAAACTAATTCACAATGACAATACACAATTGACACCCACACATTACAACTAAAAACGTCACACCTAAATCACACATCACAACTGAAAATAAAATATTTCACTTCACACTAATCCACAATGACAATACACATTACCTGTACACACAATACAATGACGTAAGAACCAGATAACAAATACGGTTAACCTGACGTTTACTCCTCATTTGACTCTGAAGATGACTACAGCTAAGGTTGTCGAAACGTCAGTCAACAACAAAAACAGTCCTTCTCAGGACTTTATTAACCTGGACGATCATCATTTACAAACATTTAAGGAGTAATATATAATATGTATGCCAGATGTTACGTCACCAGGATTATGACGTCACATGCAATGGTTCGAATCTTTGGCTTTGACGCCTCACGTTTTCTTCATCGGAGTGTTTTTCCTTTCTGTTACAAAGTAAAGAAGAAAAGAAGCCAGTGATTGGTAAATGTTTTGATGCCGTGGATATCCATCGCTTAAAAAAAGAAAAGAAATAAGCAAAGGTTGGTTAAATTGTTCTTTATTGTCTGGATATAATATGTGCTTCATTATAAACATAGAATCTTACAGCCATACTAAAGATCATGCAACACGAAAAGATTCAAACAAACCTAATGTTTAAGGAAACTAGCAAAAGATAATTTTAGCCATAATTGTCATATAAAGTTGTCTTTGATGAGACAATGCCAAATTTCCAAAGCCATTATCAGAGAATATATTAAAGTAAATGAGAGATTATATTCATAATACTATCAATGCCTACATACTTTTACTGACTTCATCACTGCAAATACTCGTTTTTCACTGATGCATTTGTACACATTCAGCTTCCTTTTTTAATAATATAAAAATTGCACCATACTTATCGTTAAGTTGAAGTTTTATTGTAATTCGATGGGTTACTGGACAAGGAAATCACGGACTACTGTAAAATTGGCACCATATTCAACACAACACTCATCACAACATTCAACCAAAATTTATCATTCAAAATGATAAATTGTAAAATCGTCTTTAAAACACATTTTCCATCAAATACATCAGTAAAAGACAATTCTTACCTGTTTATGACTATTTTACTGTCCTTAGACATCACAAAATAGTATAAAAGTCAAGAAATTGATGAAAACACTAAGCTTTAATTTACAGTGTACTTTTCATTTCTCTTATTTAGCATATAAATTAAAAACTACACTGTAGAATTTTTTTAAACTTTTCTATGTTACACATATTTATATTATCTATAATAAATCCAAAAACTGGAGAGTGCACAAAAAATAAATTGTAGAAAATTTGCGACAAATTTAGACGACACGAATTCGCGTAATAGAGGATGGCAAGAAACTGTCGTGGCTATAACCTTATGTAATAACTTCTTAATTCTTGGGGATTGGGGGGTTAAACAAACTTGTCTAACTAGCAAAGCTTATGAAAGGACTTTAAAACTTTAATACACCATGCATTTTTCCGTTTTTTTAAACATCTCTAAAATCCTAAAGTAATACTAAAAACTTGAATTATCGAAAATCATCGTTGATGTATGGTTACAGATGTGCGTAATATGTAAATAAGTAGCGGTTCCGGTTCTATTGCAAACAAAGGCGTCTAACTTGTAAATCAAACAATATGCGTATTTGGATGACAAGAATATTGACAATTTTTATTCATTTTGAATTCATATATATTAATGACTTTCCTCCCTCCCCTCTTCTTCCCATTGAGTTCTATAATAACTGGAGGGGAAACGTCAACAAAATTAGTATAAATTATTAGCGCGCGGCCGCGTGGTCAAAAACATGGCGGTAATGGCGGATTTTGGTGGTCAAAACTTCCACTTTGAAAATGTTTTTCAATATTCACTCCCTCCTGATTTATATGTTTTTACGAAAACATGGCGTTGAAGTATCACGGCACATGTAGATTGATATTACGAATAAAATTCAAGGTAAGAAACTTTGAATATTTTTGATAGAAATCAGTAAAGTTGTTTTAAATTTTAAGATGTAATCGTGTCTGTTATATAGCTGGTGATTAAAACCTGCGAAAATCTAAAATGTCAATATTTAACGTTTTTTAAAAACACCAATACTCACCTTAACTACAAATGTTGGTAAATATTTTCTTTTAACTGCCTTTCATGATTAAATTGATTGGTCATAATTTAAAATTTGGGCAAATACCTATTATCAAACGGCTCATGACATGTTTTTATAAAATGAAACCATTTAAAGATGGATTTCAAAATGGCAAATACCATGGTGAATGGTGATAATAACATTGTAATAGTTCTTAAAAGAACTGTTTTAACCAGAACACTAACCCAACAATTCAAAGGAATCGTTATTTACAGCTAGAAAGAGGCACTATGCATTTCGGCAGACTACTCGTAAATAAAACCATTGTTCTCACGATATAACTTACTTTAAGTGCGAGCACTGTAGTGAAGTATAATGCAAACAAAAAACAGGTGCCTTTAATGGATATTAGCCTCAAGTGAACCAATAAACTTACTCTAAACTTAATTTTTTTTAGATTTATTAAGTGAATAAGATTTACATTCGATATACGGGTTGTCTGTATACAACTATTTAGTGAAATTTATGAATTTCTGCAAAAAGTTAAAAGCAATCCATATAATAATATGTATGTATTAAATGTTGGGTCGATGTTGGTCTGTATCTTATTATAACAGGGTGCTGTTAAAGCAGTTGTACCAAGTATAATCAAAGGAAATTGAAAAAGAAAATGAGTAGTAATATACATGGGGGTACGAATCCATAAAAAGTTTACTTTTTATGTATTCGAATCCTCCATGTATATTACTACTACACCCGTGGGTATAAAAGCGTAAATTAGGATCATGGTATAAAGACGTCCCTCTGGTAAAAGATCATGTAAAAAAGCTGTGTAAAAATCGTTATTTCAAAACAGTGTAAAAAAGGCCATGTTTTAAAGGCGTCCTCAATAAAAGGCCATGTAAAAAAGTTATTGTTTCAAAGGGGGTAAAAAACTCGAGTTTACAATCTATTGTTTAAAAATATGGAATCTATATGTTTTTGAAGTATATAGGTGCGTTTAAATTTTATAAACGGTCTTTACAAACAAATGTTAATAAGCATCGGTTCGGAGAGGGCTCGGCAGCGCAGAGCATGAAATGCTCGAGCAGGGGAATGGAGCCCTCGAGAATTCTTGAACCCCGGGGAAAACGAAGTGAAAATCGGGGTTCACCCTCGTAGATTCGAAGAATATTCGAAGAATATTCGAGAATAACAGAGGCTTAAGAAATGCTCTTCAAAAAACCGTCTTTAATAATCAAATGTTAATAATCAAGTGTTATTAAAATATCAGTAGCAGCGCGCGTGTCTTAGTGCATGTTTCTAACAATGGTTGTTTAATGTAATAGCACATTTCATCAGCGCATGTATAATACAATGTTGTACAAAATATGGAATCTATATGTTTTTTTTTAATTTGTCTGTCAAGCGAGTGTCATATAATTTTTTTTAAAAGTGTTTTTAATAATTGTTTCAGGATTTTGAATTCTTTTGTATATCGCTTTTGTATTAATTACTTATTACAAACAGTTATGTGATATGTAGTCAAACATGAGGAGCAGGTATGTATGATTTTACTCTAACAGAGGCCCACGCTACATGCTTACTACACATTATAACTGTATATTAAAATAAGTTTTAATTATCATTTAAATAATGACCATAAGCTCTAGTAGTTATACCATCATCTAATATATACCGTTTATCATCAAAACAGCTAAGTGATACTTTATTAATTTCATAACTACTAAGTTGATGGTTTACACTTCTAATAGTTTTCATTGTATGATGTATTTGTTTATTTTCAAATAGTGTTTGTTTATAGTCTTCATGTTTTATTTTGTTTTTAATAATATTTTTCTTAATTCCTTTAGCTTTTTTATCTCCTTTATTATTATCTTTAATATAACTATACATCTTGCTTCTTAAACCAACAAATTCTTTAACTACTATTCCCGAAGCTTCATCTTTCATTTTACCAATAACTTTTTTATTAGTATTATCATAATATTTATGGTATTTATCATAATCACTGTTATCAAATTTATCTTTATCACTCCAAAAATCTTGATAGACATCATTAGTTTCAATTTCATATGTTAGAGAATCTGTATCTGTGAATAATAATTTAGCTTTATCACCATACCGATTTTTGATATAGTTGTAATGAAAATCATACATCAAAGTTTTACTTAAATCTAAGATACACATACCCACATATGCCGGTCTGTTGAGCACCAATTGTTCTTTCATCTTATGTACAGCCACAAGGTTCTCATTGAAAATTTTACTACTTACATAAGTAGGTTTTGAAGCTAATTTTAATAATTTATTTTTATTAGTTACTAGTCTAACATCTACTCTTTTCGTAAGTTTTCCATCGTCTTACCAAAACACTGTTATTCATGAGTTTGAAGAAGTCTTTTCAAAAGAATTTTTGCATTAGTTCTTTTTGAGTAAAGTTATCTATTTTTTCAACCATGGAGATTGATTGAATTCAAGTACTCTATGTACTTTTTTTAATTTTAACCCAAGATCTAAATATAGTTGAAGATTTCTATAATGTAAAACGTATTTGTATTTATTTTGCAATGTAGGTATTAATTTTGAAACTAAACCTGTTGATATATTGTAATTAGAAGCAATTGTCTTACAATATTTTGACAGCATGTTGCTAGTTACCTTAATTTTTTCAGGTCCTAGTGGATAATCGTTATGTAAATTATGTAGTTCTTCAGGGTATTCTAAATCAACTTCTAAAATTAAACCTTTTTTACTATCTGCTTGATATTTAGCAAGGTTTATGTTGTTAATCTGTTTATCAGTTAACCATTTGAAATTACCAGTAGGTAAGTTTTGTGACATAGCCCATCCATACAGATTGTTAGCGTCAAGATACATTATATATTTTGAGGGTTTATTCTTATCAAATGTTTCCATATACTTGTTATTAGCTTTACCATATCGGTTAGAAATATAAGAAATACCTCCTCTCATACCCTTTTCAATGAATTGAAACATGTCAATATTAGTCATTAATTCTAATTTAATATCTGTCATCTTCAACATAGCATCCCAAGACAACCCGGGTGATGTAAAATAATGACATGGGTCTAAGTTATAGTATTCTAAGCATGTTTTTCGAAAATTTTCAAATACATCAGCTAATAACAAAACATCAGATTTCAGATACAAGTCGTGGTACTCACCCATGTTTTTGAGATTGAATGTATTCCACACTTTTTGTGCATGGTTATAAGAATCATCTGAAATATTCTCATCAGTAAGAATACTATAAAAGTCTTTTTTTGAAGGCAGCCTATTATCAAACTTTTCAAACGAGTCCATATAATCATATGGGTATATACCTTTTTTAATCATTAAATTAAATTTTTCACTTTGAAACTGCTTAGAGGTATATTTAAATGAATCTTTAGGTAAATTACTAACAAGCTTTTCAAGACTAGAACTCATAAATTGAAAACTATCAAGAAATGTTAAATGGTTTCCTAACATAAAAGCCATATATTTTTCCATATTATTTGGTATACAATTTATATTCATTTCAATTTCTTCTCCTTTTTTGTTTTTGTATGTATGTTTCTTAACAATAGCTCCGATTTCTTGCATAATAAAATGACTATCATATCCACGCAGATTGTGAAATATTACTGGGATTTTTAATTTATTAGGATCTATTCTAAGTTTTAAATTACAATCTTGATGTGCTGAGCCTCTATATTTTCCAGTGATATGACAATGGTCTCGAACTCTAATATCTTTGTTAGTATATTTTTTGTTACAAATATGGCATTCATCAGCTTTTTTAAATTCTTCTTCATCATAAGAGGTCATTTTTAATGGTTTATTAAAGTGGGTTTTCATAATATTTTTACAATATTTAACTTCTTTTAACATAGCTTCCATAAATTTGTAAACAGCCTTTTCACCTCTATATAGTTGAATTTTTTTCGTGAATTTATCATCATAACAACAAACAACTTTATACCCATAACCACAGTCAGTATGTTTCTGATAGGCTTCTGTATATGATTTTTATTATTTTGATTACAACTAGATATCTTTTCTGTAATAAGTCAAAATATATAACAAATGGTACTGGTTGTTGCTTATGATAGTTGTTGAATTTCAGTATGTTATTATTTTTATCAGGCATTTTATTGATTGTATACCATTTATTAATATACAGTTTTCTATATGGTTATTTAATATTTTTCAGAACTAAAACATTGAAGACAGCGCATACAAAAGTGTTTTCTTTCCTTATGCTTTGTTTGATTGTACATAAATGCATTAAAATTTTTTATTAGAATATAATGTTTGTTTTATTATCAGTTATTAATAGTAATTCCATATGGTCTTTAAATTTTTCTTTTGATATATAAATGGGGTATGGTTGCTTATTTTCATAACCGAATACATTAATGTTAATTTTGTTTTGCTTTTCGATTTTATTATAATGTTTAACAGTCACTGGAAATTCAATCCCAGAGTAGTCTAATTTGTTAATATATTCCTTATCAGATTTTTTTATTCGGTATGGGTGTTTATTTTGTGAGTTTAAATAACGACTATGACACCACCTAAAACATTCATTATCTGTATTTTTGATATTAATTAATCCTTTTTTAGAGTTTTTAAGTTCTTGTGGTAAATTAATATATGAAGATCCTTGTAATGGCTTGTATTTAACAACATTAAGATAATGATTATCTATAGATTTAATAACCCATGAAGAACCTTCTTGATTAAATTTACTAATTTTATCTAATATATTTTGTTTTGAAATTTGTAAGGATTCATTAATATTTTCATTATTTGTAATTGTTAAAGCTTGGCTGTTGAAATAAGCTGTTTCTATTATATGATCAACATCACCACTATTTTTAATTTTGATTTTTTCAAATGTTATCTTAAGAGTTTCAACAAATTTTAATCCTTTCATTGTTGTTAATATTTCTTTAATATAATATGTAAGATACTTTCTAGTGTTCTGTAATTGTTTTAATGGATCTTTATTATTAATAATATCTATTGTATAAGATTTAGTAAATCCTCTAAGAGCATTATTTGTTTCTAATATTTTAACTCTTTTTGTTGGTATTGGTTTTTTATTTTTATCTGATAGCATTTGTGTATTGTTCTCATACTCTTTAATCATCTCTTTTACACTCTTTCTTGGTTTTGGGATTGGTGTTAATGCTTTGATTAATTCGTTTTTTCTAAGTTTATAATAACCTTTAATCTTTTTTTCTTTAGCAATAACTTTTAACTGAGATACAGTCATTTGTTTGATATTTGATTGTGATATTACTTGTTGTATTGGTTTGGAAATTGAAGTATTATTACCTTCAACCCACGGCTTTTGATTTAATAATAACTTAATTAAATCGTCTTTAGTCAACTTTTGAAGTTCATCTTTATTCATATTAGGCATATATATAAAATACTCATGTCTTTAAGTACTTTATGTTTTGTTTTATCTTTATTCATTTTCTGCATATTATATAATATAGGTTTGTCTTTAAGTACCTTTCGATTTAAATAATCTCTATTCATATATATATATATATTTATTTTATTTAAACTTTAAACTAATTTTAATTATAGAAATAAATCTATATTTAAAACTTTTTAAAAAATAATTAAATTAATCTATTTAACATTTTTTTAG